TAAAATACTTACTTTAGAATAAAAAGAATGTTAAAATCCAAACGTTATAATCTTGAATTTTCTTTATTAGAATTATTATTTCCGTTGCACACATGTTCAACATAAAGAAACAGTCATATAAACAACTTTCTAATTAATGTTTTGTTTTAGAGAACAACGACTCAGTTTATAAGTGAATTTCGAAGAGGAAGGTACTCCGAAAAAATATTCCGTACTTTTCAACAATAATCGACACTTCTATCGATTAATTAATAATTATTTTAATATTCTAATACACCCTTCTTTTATTACAGCATAATTTAATACTCGAAGTTATCACTGCGCATGAACAACAAATTTATTACATTAGAATAAGAAAAATGTTAAAATCCAGACGTTATAATATTGAATTTTCTTTATTAGAATTATAATTTCCGTTGCACACATGTTCAACATAAAGAAACAGTCATATAAACAACTTTCTAATTAATGTTTTGTTTTAGAGAACAACGGCTCAGTATATAAGTGAATTTCGAAGAGGAAGGTACTCCGAAAATATATTCCGTACTTTTCAATAATAATCGACACTTTTATCCATTAATTAACAATTATTTTAATATTCTAATACACTTTAATTATTTTTCAGATTGTTTCAACGCATATACATTGGTTTAAACGTTACATACACATTAACGTACTTTGAATAGAAAATAATTTTAATATGAATTTATTTTTTCAATTTATCAGATAACTGTCTTCAACTTGATTGCGTTCCTAGATCGGAAGGTAATATAATATACTCCAATTACTTACATTGCAAATAAAATTGTATTAATATTAATTAAAAATTTCTGTTTCAGAAGTGGTTTAATGGGTAGCGGGTAAATTTTTTGTTCGTAAAGGGTGGTACCATTTACAAATAAAGAATTTACTTCAGGCATGCGACCCTGCCCACGCGAGCCATGATTCTATCTTACTCCCAAGGGTAGAATCATGTTCATTTTACTTTTAAGCTGGAACTACCGTCTTTTTTTTCTTTTTTTTCTTTTTTGGCTTTTTCGGCTTTTTGATATGCATTGATAGATATGCATTTAGCATGGGAAACTTAAGCTTCATTGTAAGGGAAAACATCTTCCGCTAATTGTTAGACGGACCCAAGGATTCTTTTCTGTAAGTTCGCAATAGTATACGGTGTTGGACTGAACATTTAGTGTAGGTTTCTCCTAAATTTAGAGTCAGTGGACTAGTCCAANAGGTTTCTCCTAAATTTAGAGTCAGTGGACTAGTCCAATCGGGGGGAAACCACTTAAAAAAAAAATCGTGAAAAGTTCCGCTTTAAAAGTTATACCCATCCCCCCTTTTCTCCTATCCCTTTTATTTTTTAACTCTTTTTTATCCCTTTGTTTTCTGTTGCAGGTTGGACTATGGTAAAGAGACGACGACAGGTGGACCAAAGGTGGACCAAAGGTGGACCAAAGGTGGACCAAAGGAGGACCATAAAGGAACAAGAATTGGACTTGGTAATGTAGGATAGTATAAAATAATTATTTGTATAAATAAAATGAAAATTTGTATCTTTGTATTATTCTCTTTGTAGCATCGCACATGTGTAATAATTATTTGTAATGTATTTTTTTTATTTATAGGTTCCATGCAACAACTCATAATTGTATACTCTTTTTAATTATTGTACTTTATTTTATCTAGATTGAAAATTATGTATATATGTATATATTCTAGGGTGTATTAGTTTTAAGTAACATCGATGATTCTATTGAATTTCTTTTCAGGTTATACTCCTTGTTTAATCATTTTGTATTTTTTGATATTCAAATTTTTCTCTGGTATTCTCCCTAGTAATTTGAAGGATTTTTCGGATGGTACTCTTATGGTTGGGCCTTAGAGTTAGGTTAATTCCTTATAATTATATTCGGATGTGGGCATCTTTAGGATGCACATCCCTCTTGGGTCTTCAGAAGCGGTTACCTCCTCGTGGTTAGACCTGGGCAATGGATATTACTTTCCATGTAATGTTTAACATATTTTTATATGTTTTACATTCCATTGCAAGTAAAATCCAGCCAAAGACCGCTTACCATAAACATTATAATTGTAATTAGTTTCTGTAATTTTCCAATGGACATATTTTTATTCCTTTCCTTGGCTCCTTCTATCCATTTCATCTCCAGAAACTAATTGCCTTATAATGTTTTTTCATAACTTTTATAATGTTACAGGCATTACACCGATAAAACAAGAAATCTTTTATTGTAATATTTATTTTATTTAATTTCAGGATAAAATTATTTTTGTTATAATGGATATTTTATTTTTTAATGCAGGTTTCTTCTATCTCACAATTAAACAAAATTTACAGTTACCATGGATTGGCCCATAATTGTGGAATTTTTATCTTAAAATTTGTATTTTTTATTTTTTTTTGTTTATTTCAGTTCTCTTTTAGATTTTGTTGACAGGATGAACTACGATGCAAAATTTTGTCCAAGAGGAGTGGGATGTGGACTAGAAGAGGACTAAGTTATGATAAACTATATGGTAATATGAAATAATTATTTTTATAGCTTAAATGAAGTATCATATTTTTACAGGTACCATCTAATATCTTTTTTTTTCTACAGGTATCATCTAATATTATATATATTTATTTTTATTATACTATATTTTTTAAGTAGATTGAAAATTATTAAATATAAAATATTCACAACTTGTGATCTTTCTATTATGCATATATTAAAATTATTCTAAGGTGTGTTAATTTTCAATAGGATCAACGATGGTACTTAAATTCTATTCAGGTTGTACTTCTCATTTATCATTATGTTTTTTAGAATGTTCAAGATAATCATTTTATGGATTTTTCAGATGGTACTCTTATGGTGGGGCCTAAGAGTTAGGTTCTTTTAGTTATGTAAGAGTTAGGCATCTTTAGGATGCACATCCCTCGTGGGTCTTAACATAATTAGTTGTAATAATTGGTCCCAGTAACGTTTACCTGTCAATTATACGTTTTTGTAACAAGATATCGTCATCCTCATCATTTATGTATCTTATTTAAGAACATTAAAATAAATTGTTCTTTCTTTATTTTCTCTCTCTCTCTCTCTCTTTCTTCCTCTCATTTACTTTCTTTTTTAATTATATATTATCTATAATAGCTTTGTTTATCAATTAGCAAAACTAATTAAGTACTTGTTGTAATGTATGTTTTTATATATACGTCTACTTACAACTAATATTAAAACAATTAACGTAATTATTTTCTAATGCAATATAATTTCCATCTCAATATGGAATATATAATAACATGTAATGAACAAATCCATGCAATTAAAACACCGATGACAGTTTGAAACTTCACTTGTCTCATATCCATTGAGAACATAATTTTTTCAGATATTATCCAACGACAATATATTTCCACGCAAGATTCTTTATCAAGACTGTAAATGTTTTGCATCAAACCTTCGAATGCATACCTAAAATAACATTTAATAATAGAATGTGACACAAAAAAAGTAAATCTATTAACTTTTATTTATGTGTATTTATATATATATTTACCTAAAGAAACTGATTGAACACAATGGTTGATAAAACCATGCAATTTCATTGATTTTTAAAAAGAAACCTGCGAATAAGAACATTGGTATGCTCAATGCAGGAATGAGGAAAGTTCCTATCTGATAAAAAAAAAAAAATAATTAATTCATATTAATGAACAATAAATTTAATTCTACTTTTTTTGTTTAACACATTGTGATAAATATTTAGGTCGAGTCATAAG